GAATTTCTCCTCCCCCGCAAAGGGTTCGGATTTCCTCCCATGCCACGGCTGTCGGTGGTCTCTCTTACTTCTGATGTCGCCCGATTAGTCTTCATTTCAATTAATTTCTTCATCATTTCTTCCATCGCGATGAACTTCCCCTCCAACCTTTCATTGTTGGAGGTGATTTGATTTTGGAAGTCGAAGAATCTTGCCTCCAAATCGGATTTCAATTGTCCGACTTCGCCTTCCAAGACGTCTACTTTCTTTCCGGCCATCGTTCTTCCCAAAAAACCCACTTCCGGAAGCCGAAAGCTCGCTGAAAATTAGGGATTTCAGCCGCCTAAGGTCCCCAATCGATGCTCTGATACCAATTTGATAGGAAATACTCAAAATCAAGTATTTCCCCGCCCAAATCAGTATTAAACAGCAACCAAACTGCTGTTTTCAGCAGTAAAACAGCAGCCAACAGAGGAAAAACAGGGAAAACGGAGAGAAGACTTGAGAAAAATCACACCAAAATATTTGATATTAATGGTAAATGCAAGAAAAACCACAAGATACAATTGATCCTCAATTCGAGAGGAGGATCGATCTCTCCCAAATCTCTAGACGCAACTAGAGCCCAAAGAAAACCTAAATCTAAGAGATCTCAAATTTCAGCCAAACTCAAGATGCTCCAACCCAAGAGAAATCAACTATTTAATGTATACAATTCAAAAGGAATTCCCTAAAGAGTCCCTACAATCAATTTCCCTCCTAAACTTCCTCAAAAACGCTTCCTAAAATGCTCCTCTTGAGCGTTCGGCCCGCCCGATCTCCGCAGGAGGCGGAGATCACGCGACATTTCGCGAACTATCGGTCCCGTGCGGACCGGCTGGACCGGTCCAGTGGACCGGTCTAACATTATGATTATGGATTCCAAAGATAACATTATGATTATGGATTCCAAAGATAAAGTATTCATTATTTAGACAAACTTGTTTGTAATAACTCATGGACTACTTTATAAGAATAACAAAATATAGGTCATAATATGCTTAATAAGCACCCAATGCTAAATTTGTCCATCTCATATGTTCAACACAGACATTTTTTATGAAAATCTACATGTTTACTCTCGTTGGAAGTGTTGCATTAAGCAATGATTTAGGAAAACTTTATTTATTTTATTTATCATTATAACATGTCATGGTTTTTCGACAAGCTCTACACTGGTTGTCGATTACCTAACACATCTCTCTACTTTTCTCATCCAAAACTTGAGACCCAGCAACGGCCCGGCAATGGCAGTGTTGGCCTGCAATGCTTTATGGCACAGCATGTTGGCCATTAAAAAGAAGCATACAATTAAGTTAAGTGTTGCAAAGATGGAGAAGCTCAGGTGGATGAATAGCTTTACTCTTAGAGATAGAATGCAAAACGAGCATATATGTGAAAAGATTGGAGTAGCTCCAGTGGCAAATACAATTAGAGAGAGTAGACTTAGATGGTTTGGTCATATATAAGTACGCTTTCTGATGACCCGATTAGGAGAGTAGATGTATTAGATTTGGCTATGTTACGAGAGATAGAGGTAAAACTAAAAAGACTTGGTTACAAAAAATCATAAATGGCCTTTTTTATTAGATTTAAATGAGAATTTGACTATTAACAGGACACAATAGAGAAAAAGGATTCATGCAGTCAACACCGTTTAGTAGGATAAATGCTTGATATTGTTGTTGTTGTATTTATCATTCTAACAGTTTGGGACAAGTATGTGATGATGGCCTTCAGAAGGGGATGCATTTATTATTTCCTAGCATTAGGTTAGTCTATATGGCTTGTTATGAGGTCAGGTTGATTTGGTTCTTATATATCCTCAAGTTTAATTACATATGGATGCATATCAAAAAACTAAATTCATTCAGGTCAAAATTTATCAAATCAGGTAAATTTATGCAAGACTCCTACACATTCTCTTGTTAAGGATATTGCTAGTATTGCTAAATTAGTGCTGATGAAGATTATTCTAACAATTCTTATGATGATGTTGCTTATGATGCTCAATAGTAATGAAACTAGCATTTCAAATGATGGAATGAAAGAACTATTCCCATATTTACAATGGGAAACGCTTCTACAATATACATAGTTGCACAAAAAATTAAGAGTAAAGCCTCCATATCATACATAACTAAACAAGATTTATTTTTAAATCAAAAAGGAACAAGAGCCACCAACAATCCCTCTTTGGTTTCATCACTATTGCTAAGTTTGGTATGTTATTATAGGATGGTTATAATGTTCATTGCATGAATAATTTTGTGCACAAGATTTTATGTGGCTATTTAATTTCTTAATCTTCCAAAGAATTAATATATGAATTTGATGGTATCATTGATGTAGAACGGAAATCGCTTTGCTATGGAAGATGGACAAACTCCAAGTATCTCCTCACAAAATTTGAAAAGTCACTTCAGGAAATCTGAAATTTCATGGTGTTGTAGTGGAAACAGTCCAGCGAAAACTGTTGGACAGCAGTTTGATCTTCCCAAACAGCAGTTATTAGGCTTACTATTACTGGAGACGTGAGAGCAAGGGTTGGAAATCCTTGCCGGCAGTCTTAGAAAATAGCAGACTCCATGTGGGAGGAGTTTGGGTAGGGTTTAGTGTATAAAACCAATGGGAAAACCTGAGAATTTCAGCCAGTAGCAGGTAATGTTTTCCAAGCTATTATCACAGGGAGATCAAGCCCTAAGAGAGAAATTTCTAAAAGAAATTTCAATAGGGAGGCTGGCGGGTACGTGAGAGTGGAGGCTAGGAGGAAATAGATTAGAGCTTGCCTGGGAAAGCTCGGACAGCACTCAGTTCATGGGAAATTTCGGAATTAATGTGAGAAATAGAAAGTAAATAGAGTTGGAGAATTCGGGTAAGGGCAAGGCGGGACCCAAGGGAATCTGAGGGAATTCAACTCCTGAGGGATTTCTAACAGATGGACGGTGGGAGGGAAAGGTGATTAGAGAAATACTTAATTGGATCCAAAAATGAATGCCAATTAATGTTGATTGGAGGGGAATAAGGGGCCGGCCATGAGAGAGGGGAGAGAAAGGAGTCCAAGTTCAATGTATGTGATCCCCAATGGAGTTAATCACATTTAAATCAAATCAGATTTTAAATTCATATTTGATTTAAATTAAGGTTGCTTCCTAATAAGGGGTTATTTTCATAGGAAGGCGTTTGAAATTCAAAATAGATTGAGTCCCAATAATGAATCTTTCCTAAATAGCATGGATGTATTTTAGGAAAGTAATTATGGGTAATTTGATATTTGAATTTCAAAATCTATGAGGGATTTGGAGGGAATTAAATTTGAAATCTTGATTTCAATTAAGCAATTCTCAAAAATAGATGAACTAAATTAGGAAAGAATTTGAAATTTGAATTTGAATAATTTCAAATTCAAATCAATCCCTAAATTAACCCAACCAAATTAGGAAATCCCAAAGAGGGTGGGAGGAGGAGTTCGGTCGGCGGCTACGGAGGTGGAGCCGGCGGCATGGGGGGTTCGGGTAGGGTGGTGTGCCGTGAGGTGGAGAGGGTATGAGGGATTTCGGGTGGAGGTGAATCCGGTGGCCAAACGAAGATCGGGAAGAGGAAGATGGAACAAAACAAAAGATATAAGATAAAACGAGAGATGCAAAGATAAAACCACGAACCTGGCCGTCTCCAAGGTTGGTGGGTGATACGATTTCCATCTCCAAGGGATCTCAAATCACGATCCCGGACCCATCCTGCGGCTAGTGACAACTTCGATTCCTTCCCAAAGGACTCTCACTCTCGTTCTCTCCCAAGAACACAAGTGTGGAACACAAAATTTTCATATCCATTCACCATCCATTACAATAGCTTAAGGCCCTTATTTATAGGCCCCAATATGAGAAAATTCGAAATTACAAAATTGCCCCTTGGGCCATAACACTCAAACAAACTATCCTAGGGGTAAAACAGAAAATACATTAATTTAGAACTAAAATTCAGAAAAATAAATCATAATAGAAGGTTTAAATGATAGCCGTCGATTTGCGACGCCTCCTGTGATAGATGCGCCAAATCTTCGTACCGATGTCCGCATCAATCATACTAATCGAATCTACTAAGTTAAGAATTATGAGCCTAAATAGAAGTTCAGAGCCATGTAAATTACAAATTTTGGATCAAGCAAATTTTTTTCAAGTTTTCAATCATATGTGTACAAGTTGGATGCATATGAGTGTGACAACCAGTATCAAGTCATTTTTCTTCTACCAGAATGAGGCCAGAATTTCTTAGGTAAATTCTTTCCTTGGCTTAATTTCTTCAACATATTTTGATATTGGCTTGGCAGCGTTCCTGATTGTCCAAATTTGACACAATTAAGAATCTGTTTATGGTGATTAAATTATCATTACTAATTGATTAGCATGGTTTGAATTTTTAGCTAATTTCTTCACATTTATTCGATCATTACATTACCATTTGTGTTCTAATTCTCATATTTGCAATTAAAGAAAGTAAATTGTTGACTCATTTAGGGGTTGTTTGGTTGGAGGAAATGTAAATGCAATACATAATAAATGCTTTTCTTTTTAACTTTTTGGTGTTTGGTTGGCCACGAAAGTAAACTAATTTCTTGATGTATTTGGAACTCCCGCTTTAGTTCATTTTTGGCGTAAAGTACATTTTTGCTTCGGAAAAAAACCAATCGTTCAAAGCCTTTCGAGAGTGAACTTCAGAGCTACTTTTGATCTCATAATGGGTACATATTTACTAATATAATGCTCTCTAATTAGTATGCTTATGGTGGTTAATGAAATTTAAAGACATTTTAAAGCTACTTATCGAACATCATAAACCCCATTTATCTTATTAATAAGTTTCTAAAATGAAAAAAACAATAACATAAGCAAATATTATAACAGCTAGGTATCATTGCTTTAAATGCCTTTAGCTAATTTCGTAAACTTCAGCAGAGCAGAAAAAAGCCAAAGTGCACAAACCTTCTTGTCCAACAGAGGTAGCCCTGCGCTCGTCCCTATACCTCAAGTTCATAAGAGCATTTCCCGGAGTAGGTTTGTCTACCCAAATTGAAAATCTCCAGATAAGAAACTCAAGAAAAGCATCAAGCTCCGCCTCGTATTGAAATAGGAACCCTGGCTAATTCCCAAACAAGTAAAAATAGTACAATTTAAACTTCATTCAAATAAGACAACAAAACTACAGGAGATTGGTAAAAAAAAATGCACCTTCAATAAGGAAAAAACTTTAACAAGCTGTTCCTTCAGCATGGCTGACATTTCCACATCCAACCTTGCAGCATCAAACTGGTTCACTTTGGATATTGAAATTGGTATTGGTGGCCACTAACCAACATTAAAAAGTAAACAAACAACAATTCTTTCTCAATGCCGTCATTGAACATCTAAGTGAATAAATTATAAAGCACTCGCAAAAACCCTAGGCATATCTTGCTAGTGCACAAGAATGATTAGGCGGGAAGCAATAAATCATCTAGGAGCAGAAAACCGTGATAGCCACGGCGTCAGAAGACAAAGAAAGATACAACTACCTGGGAAGATTCGCGCAAGGACTTCCACCTGTGAAACAATCTGTGATAAGCATCAGTCCAAGCAATTTCTGGGGGAGGATCCACGTTTCCAGTATGAGAAGAGGAGGCCGAAGAGGAAGAAGAAGTTGCAGCTAGGGTTCCTTTATCCATTGATCGCGAGCGTTTGTCTTCTGCTTCTTCTCCTTCGCGCAAAATAAAGAGAAACGTGGAGACGGGAGAGGAAAGCTCTCACCGGGTAAGAGGACGCGGCCGCTATTTTGTACTTCATCAGTGGACATTTTGGTCAAGGGATGATAAAAGTGTATTCTCGTCATGTAATTGTTAGGCCAAATTTATTCGGATCGCATGCTTTGATTCAGAACGCGTTCCACATTTTATATCCAATCATAAGTATATTTAAATGGGGAAATTATTTTGTGAGGGCATCATACGGTTTGGAAACTAATCAGAACGTGTCACATCACCGATACACAATGATAATAAGCACCGGTACCAAGCAAAAAATTGATATGCCACATTCCAATTGGTCTCCAGATGTCGTCTGATATCTGCACGGAATAATTTTTCATTTAAATGGGACGGTTTTTCTACAAGTGATATAAGGGTGGTAAAAATAAACCATCTTTTTAAGAAAATAGTTCATTTCTATGATTAAAATATAAAATTTTATTATTTATTATGAGTTAATGAATCAATTAAGAAGTAGTATATATATCATATCAATATTGATATATCATAAAAAATCATTTAATTAGCATGAATTAAATTCATGACTACTCAAGCTCTAATTTTAACAAGCTTCTAGTCGTATTGATCGTCTCAATGGGACAAACTCATTGACATCATTGGTTATTTGAGTTAAAATCAATATAAATTAAGCCTTTGAAGCATATTTGAAAGTTTAAGGATATTGATTGAATGATCTGGTAGACTCCAATTCATTCAATATAGTCAAATCAAGTAGCTATATAAGATAAATCCAATAAGCTCAATATCATTCAATTATAAGACCATTAAGATACTCAAATGCTAAATAAATGGCCTATGATCAAAGTTAACAGTATGAACTTTTTTATGAGTGATATATTATCAAAAATTTATCTTTGATCGGGCACGAATCTCGAGGCAAAATCATCCTGGAAACTTCAAAAATTAAATATGGGATCACCTGAACTTCAGTTTCAGCAAACTTATAGTCAAACTGAGTTTCTCGGAAATACAAACCCAACGACACCAAATTCAACTCAATCCAAGCCCAAATGAGTCCAAATCAAGGACCCGAAGCGTTGTTAAAAAGTTCGTACCACAATTTGAGTTACCAAACAGTATATGAATTTGACAAACTTATAGTCAAATCGAGCGGCTCGACGAGACAAATCCAACGAGCCCAAGATCGCTGAATTCCAAAGTCATTAAGACCTTCAAATGCCTGATAAACAGTCCATGTTCGAAGGATTCAATATCGGTCGTTCATCCAAACCACTCTATATTTGCCCATGATCTCTCGTCTATTTACAGGCTATGCCACCCCATAAAATCTATAAATAAACCCCTCATTTCTCTTGAGAGGGGACTCAAGCAAGAAAAAGATAAGAGAAATAGAAGAAGAAGAAGAAGAAGAAGAGAAAGATAGGAGGGAATAACTCTTCCTCGACCACCGCCGGAGTTCTGCCCGATGACGGAATTCTGCCGGACTTCCGAATGACGCCAGAGTTCTGTCCGACGCCCAAGCGACGCCAGAGTTCTACTTGACGCCCAATTGACGCCAGAGTTCTGCCTGACGCCAGAATTCTGCTCGATCTCCAAGTGACGCCAGAACTCTGCTCGACAATGTAATTAGATCTCCATCCGGAAGTGAAGCATTGTAAACTGATCATCCTAAATTTTAAGGACGAATCAGCCTCTTATACTTCAAACAAATAATAGTGGAATTATTTCAACTAGGCATGGCCCCGTGGTTTTTTCCCTTTCCAGGGTTTTCCACGTAAAAATCCTAGTGTTTCTTTTTTTTCCTTTTTTGTGTGCTGGATATCCGTACAATGCTGAGACGGAAATTTACTAACTTTATCGCCGCGTATATTCTAGCCAGTAATAATGTGTATTTTGAATTTTGATTAGATTTATATAAACACCCCTCTTAAAATTGATTGTACTCCATTTTATACGTAGAGGCGGCTAGAGAGCTAAAAAACCATGTTATAATTTATAGAAATCGGTATCAGCGACCACCATTAGCAACCATCATCATAATTACTTGACTAACATCATCCAATTATTGTCGTATAACTACAAACATCCAACGTTCTTATTGAACTTCAAATTAATAATTACTCGATAATTGTTCTCAATTATACAATCACATCTTCTTCAATTGAGGATAAGAGTGATTCATATATCTATAATTATATAGTGGATTATTCAAACTGAGTCAATCCCCATGATTTTAATCTTTTTGAGTTTTTCATGTAAAAAATTCTTGTGTCTTTTTGCAATTTTGATATGTGCATGTCAAATATTATACACTCTCCTTATCACGGTAGTTATCTACCATGTAAAAAAATATACATAATTATTAGGTAATAAAAGAGGAGAGCTTTAACTCAGTATTACCCACAATGTCTCAATTAGAGAAATATGCCCCAAAGTTTTGTTATGGCTAAAAAGTCCTTTGACTTTTAATAAACATAGCAAGAACCCTCACTGAACTGTTACATAACTTCAATCCTTCTTCTCATCACCTTATTTATTTCTAGTGATTATAGAGTGTGCATCTTCAGCCGATGCAAAAGTTCTCGATGATATTCTTTATCTATTCACGACCTTTGAAGGTTAGTGATATTTTTTTAATTTGTTTTTTTTTAATAATTGAAAATAGGATTATCACTCTAAACCCTAAATCCCTTCATTGTTAGACTTTAGTTTATGTGTTAATTATCATGTTAGATTCATCTTCCAACCACATTTGATGTTAGAATAATTTGTAAATCACAATCGATCAATAATATCAATCTTTGAATTATGATTGAATGTTATTGGCACAACTTATAAGATGATCAACTCATTCGATGAATATTCGTAATATAGTCAACCCATGATTGAGCTAAAATTGAATCATCTTCAACTCTAATGTCCGGTTTAAATTGGTCTGTTCAATTGAATCGACAAGCCCGAAATTATTTGTAAAGGTCAAGGTAAGAAAATTTGAAGGAGAAAGCGGAATATTTGGACTTGGAAAGTTTCTTCACAAGAAAGTGTAAGTAAATTATCTTTCTTATTCTTTTATTTTCCGTTCAAACTAAAAGAAAGAAATTTTTATAATCTCTTAATTAAAGATACAAATATTGTTGTACAAAGAATTGAATTATAGAAAGCTTATATTCGATGATGAAAGAAGGAGATTTGTAAAGAAGGAAAGGAAATCTTGATGAGGTAATTATTAATTTTAATATAATAAAAATGTTGTGATAAATTAGAGTCATTTAATGTTATGATTAATCATGTTCAATTAGGTAAAATTTTTATTTAGAAATGTTTGAAATAATTTATATTATCGTAAGGAGAATAGGGATATACTTGATATTACTTTGAAGATATAATTGAGTACTCCAAGTTGACTTTTTATATTAATTAAGATCTCATTCATGTTATTTGAACGGTGGAAGATCTTCATAATTGAGTTGAAACGAGTGTTGAAAAATTCATAGCAAAGATTAAAATTTGGAAAGAGGAAGAGGATTTGGACGTGTATATGTTTGAAAATGTATATATGATGTACAATATATAAAGATATATGAAGGATTTATAATATGTAAATGAGAGCACAAATGAAAAAGGGAAAATGTATATGCATACCAATTACAGGAGTTCATGTGATGCCCCAGGCATCTATAGTGAAAGGATTCTTCTGACAGTCTTCTTATTTTTTTTTTCTACATTTCTCGCTCAGATCATACAAACATCCAGAATGATAATTGCATAAAAGAAAACAGATACATCAAAATACTATAATTCACATTAAGGCATTTCATATTTACAATACAAAAGTAGGGTCCAAAAGAACATGTACAATAGCCACTCGAGCTACAAAACAATGCATGAACCAAAAACTACGAAAAACTATACTAGCGTCTAAAAGAAGCTTCACGTGGGAGGCTCTGCGCCTGAAATCATTAACCACATATAATAAGCTTAAATAGCCCAGCAGGTCACCAAAGCTTACAACTAAAATCAAAGCACGATACATAAGTAATATGCATGTCAATCAGTCAATCAATAACAATCACTTGCACATGATCATTGAATCTATGCAGATACGAAAATCAGAAATCAATGCATAACAGAAATCAATAATCAATGCATAAACAATTGAATCCAAAATCATCAGTGATAGAAAAGTGAACAGTAGAAAATATCTTAAAGCTCGATGAACCAGTACGTGCGTCAAATCTCTACAGTAGTCGTCTTATCATAACATCAACATCAGTCTAACAATGTAGTAAGAATCGTATCAAAACATACACTGCAAATTCCAGTTATTCAATTATCACTTGCTCAATAAATCATATCAGTGTATAATGCAGTACAGTGGAATCGGTAGTAGAACGTATGTATCAATATCAGTAAAATCCTGTGCGACATAAACGATATAGCTATAACAGTGAAATCGTGAGTAACAGTAATCCGGCAAGTAAACGATAAATCGCACAGTAACGATAACCCTCAGTAATAAATCCGTACTAGTAAATCCATCAAATCAATATCTATTATAACTTCAAATCAATCATATCAATAGAAATCAATCAGATAATTAATAAAGAAATCAATTGCCGGTCAATAGTATCAATCGTATGAAATCATATAAAACAATCAAATCATACATCGTTAAAAAGAGTTGAAATAAAATAATTAATCAATAAATCAAAATGCAGTAAAATCATATTAATACAATAAAATCATATTCTAGATCATAAGAGCTCCGTAAATCACATGTATCATTAGTATTCGTTGTATCACATGCCATAATATCAGTGCAATGAATCAGTAGTATCGGTGAATTAGTAGTATCTTGTATCTGTATCAGTAGTATCGGTGAAACCAGTAGTATCAATGAATAAGTAGCAGAACGGTAAAACAGTATCAATATCAATGAAATCATGCGGTAAACAGTAAACGCCGTAAAACTATTAGTAAATCCATTCAATATCAATAAATCCGTCATATCAGTAAATTCATACAAAAATCAATTAAATCCATTCATATCGATAAATCAGTAAATCCATACAGAAA